CCTTTGGGGGAGACTTGGGAAAAGAAACCCAGAATTATTTCTCAGGATAGGCAGCGATTAATGTACCTGTGTTCCTTGCTGGGTTCTTCAGGCCTTCCATTCTCAATATGTCCATGCCAGGCCTGGGAAACCCAATATGGCTATAATCCTGAATAAGGGGAGGAGGGAATGTTATTTCCAAAGAAAATAGGTTTTCTACAACTTAATTTTGAAGAACCTCTTCAAAATACCCCTAGAAGACTTTTTAAGTCCATCATAGATAAATATCTCATAGGGCATAATTCCATTCATAAAATCTTTACATGCTTCTAAGCTTAACCATGGAAACCTCCTTTCTTGCATTATGTGTTTAGATACTTCTTGCACCTGAGTGCCGACAATCACATATAATTAAAGCCCAGCATGGACAGCAGTTAAGTTCCAAGCTACAGACTGTGCATCTGCAGAAGGAACCGTCCCTAGGCAAGTGTCATCTTCTGTAGAGACAGGACTCTGCAAGCAGACATGGAGGTAGTGCTCATAGTCCCGAAGTTCCTCTCTGCTGGAGCAACTCCAAGCTGTAAATAAATGCTATTGGTTTAAAAAAAAAATGCATTATCACACAGGCCTACTGGATGAATCTGCATCAGTGATTATACACTTAAATTTCAGTCTTGGCAAAAGTGGATCACACCTTCATTTGATGCATTTATCCAATTTTTACATATTCCTTTGGTATATTCTTTCTGCAGACCCTCTACTTATAAATCTGACTTTTAGTATATGTGCTAGTTCAGTGCATATTAACTTTTAAAGGCAGTTCTGAAAAAACAAATTCTAAAAATGTCCAAGGCCACATCTATATAGCATTAATTTTTTATATTTAATATGTTTGACTAATTAAAAGAGAAAATCATTACCTGAATTAGATATTCATACTATTTTAAATAAGGCAAGTAGTAGCTTCACATCTGAAGAAAATGAAGCCGCTTCCCATTGTCTTTCCACTCAACCAAAATTTCATAGTTGTCTTTTGTTTCCAAAAGGATTTTGGACAATGTAACATAAGCAAATAATTTAAAACTTATATTGATTCTATTTATACCTCACTGTAGTTAGATATGATTGATCATGGACAGCTTAAGCATTTCTTCTTTTTCTCACTTTAAAGATCTTCATGTGTCTTCTGGCCTTCCTGATCTGTGTGAAAAGCATCACATTTGGGCCAATAAATAGGTTACAGCAGGTGTGCTGAGAAAAGTAAACAGTTGGCGCTAAATATACTGTAGGTACATTTATCTATTCCTCTGTTTAAGTCTGCTGAATTTCTTAATAAAGGAGAAATAAAACAATATGTGTTAATAGAAAAATCTCTCTTGCTTCAGATTTCCCAACTTCATTTTGGGGGAAAAATTTTGTATTTCTCTAATGAATATAGAAAAAGGCTATGTACTTAAGGCGTTCACATTTATAGTGGACATCAGATCTGATGTAAATCTAGAGGTATAACAGAGATCAATTACAGAAAACATGTTCCAAAATGTTTGGCCTTTTATCTGTTTTTCATTCAAATGTAAATTAGTAACGTAATTAGTAATATAAATTAGTAATTTTCACATTTTGCAAACTAATCCTGTGTGTATTTTAAAATAAGATATACACCAATTTTTTTTCCTTTTGCCATGAAAGATATCTTTATATTGTATTGTAATTCCCCTCCAGGAGAGAGAGAAACTGAGGTGTGGCGTGGAGGCCTAGTTCCACATTTAGGAACTCACAAACTCACAAGTCCAGGAAATAAACATACATGTTTCCCTCATATGTGCAAGTCAAACTTTCATTCTAAGTAAAACTGCTAGCATGAGAAAAAATAGGACTTTCCCCTGCAATTTTTATAGTCAGGTAATGTTTCAGCAGCTTGAAGGTAGCGCTTAATTTGGTTGTATTACCCATCAACGAACTGCTCATCTTTTATTTTTTCTGCAGTAAAGAAAATGAATTATTCTTTATTTTCCAAATGTATAAAGCACAAAGGTGATATAGTTATTTCGAATACAAAATACTATGAAATGAATGTAAACAATGGAAAAATGTATTTTTTGCATGAAAACAGACTACTTACGAACTTGCTTCATATCTCAGGAAAAAAAGAATGAATAATCATATATAAAATTGATAAATTATATGTTGGAAATAAGTTGCTATATTTTCTTGCCTGTTTTTATTTTAAGGAAGCATAAACATGAAAAGGAAAACAATCCTGATAGTCTGAATTTTTTCTCAAGTATGCACACAGTCCTTTCTGTGATTCTACAATTAACTGCAGTGAGAATGGGATTAGCATTTAAGCGAGGACAAAGCCCTAAAGGAGGAACTCTTGACTTAGAACAATGAATGGTCCTAACCCAGAGGCAATAGATAAATACCTGGAATACAAGCATTTCTAAACCTTGTCCCAAACTGAAAAGGTTTTATTGAGGTGACAGTGGCTTTTAGACATTCACTTGATTGATTAATTTTCCTTGTTAAGTCATCGCAACAATTGCATGGGGCAGAGGGAAATGGATATTTTTTGAAGAACTGCTTATTCTCCTTTCAATTTTTAAAAATTGAGGAGATTAAAAATTACCTTTTAAATATGCATAAAAGTATCTTAACTGTAATTATATTTTTAGTTGCTTTGTTACAATAGCATGCCTATGAAATATAAAATGCATTTATGAAAACTTTTGTAAAAAAATAAAGATTTTTCATTTCTCAAAGTTGCTTATAATTACTATTTTATATATTTATATAGCATAATCCCCTGATGTTAGCATATTAATAGTCATTGATAATCATAAACATTATATCAAGCTTTGTCACACTAGTCAGCATACTCTGCATTCTCTTTAAGGATCCTCAAACTCCAGAGATTTACAGTCCCCACCCAGAGACTCTCCTTTGCTCTGCACACTTCCTTTTACCAAATGTGTCCTGAATTTAAGTCATTTTTATACTTTTAAAAGAACAAATAACTGTATTCAAATTTTCCATTGTGATGCCCCTTAAACAGTACTTCTATAATGTCTTTTACCCACATACAAGCTAATGGTTACACTTTCTTAAAATGGTATATTCTGCCATGCCTCAGTTACGCAGACTGCCTTCTCTATAGATTTGCTATTGTCCACCCCTCTGTTCTCACAGCTGTTAGTATAGTTGGGGCCATTCTCATCTCTTGTCTGGAATATTACCATTCTTTCTTAATTAGTCTTCCTGTTTCCACCCCAGCTTCCTTAAATTTCACCATCCACATTTCAGTCAGTGTGATCTTTCTAAATTGAAAATCTGGTCATGCCACTCTCCTGATTAATATTCCTTCGAAGACTTCCCACAGTTTCCAGGATAAAGTTCTGACTCCCTGGTTCAGCACACAAGGCCTAGCATCTCTTCTCTTGCCCTTCCCCCTTGGAGCCTTGGCTCCAGTCATACCAATGACTTTATGTAGTGTCCTAAAAGCATCATGCTCTTCTGTGCCTCCATGTGGCACATATGGTCCCCTTTTCATAGAATGCCATAACCTTTAATCCCCCTGCTAACTTCCACCGTGCAGCTCTTAAAACAGCTCAACTATCCTTTTATCTTAGAAGATTCCCTCTGCCCCACTCCCACTCACACTGTGAGTTGCTTGAGGTTGTAGCCCCAGTGCCGAAGGTCTGGTCCATAGTGGATGCTCAAGAATATCCATTTAGGGGCGCCTGGGTGGCTCAGTTGGCTAAGCGTCTGCCTTCGGCTCGGGTCATGATTCCAGGGTCCTGGGATGGAGCCCCACATCGAGCTCCATACTCAGCTGGGAGTCAGCTTCTCCCTCTCCTCCCTGCTTGTGCTTTCGCTCGCTCTCTTTGTCTCTCTCTCTCTGAAATAATTAAATAAATAAAATCTTTTTAAAAAAATCAATATCCATTTAATGAAAAATCTCCTTGGTTCTTTTTTATGCATTCATGCATAATGTTCATATGCATTAAGATTGCAATACCTGCAGATACGTTTCATCTATCACTGTGGTTTTTTTCATTCTTGTCAAGTAAGGAAAAATAAAAACAAACTGATTTTCAGTTGTACCTTGAAACCTATGGATAGAACCATAAACAAAACTGCTCAGTGGGTCAGTCACTCCATAAAAAGGCATACAGAAAGATTTCCTCTGGGATCTGGGGAATCCTAAAGCCACAAACAGGCTTTGAAAATATTAAAAAAAAAAAAAAAATTTCCTCCGAAATCTCTTCAAAATTTGGAATTTGTTTTCCCATGGAAGTTTGCAACTCCATAACTGCTCCAAACCTAGTCAAACCCATCACATGGCTGAACTGAAACAGTGATAGCAGAATTCTGAGTTTAGATATGGAAGGAGTGCAAAGGGAGATGGGAGAAGTTCAGTTTAACACTCATGGATGAATGCTTGCACTGGCATTTGTGTATTTGGGGACAGAATGGGGGGAGACAGATAACTGAATTGAGATGTGTCTGCCCTACCTCATCCTTTTGTATGGGACACATCTCCTTCCCTTTTATAGCCTGGTTCTGGGTGAAGCTTTAAACAGACCAAGTCTGTTTGTAGTCTCTTTCATCCCCGTGCTACCAAGGGCTTCGATCTCCTTTCCTTGCTCCCCCACCCCTTGCCCAACCATGTGTTAGGAGGAACGGGGTCATGACAAACACACTAGCCAAATGCCAGCTGACTCCTGCCACCTATGCCTATCATCTGTCATAATGAACGTCCCTAGGCTGCAGTTTCCTCAGCTGCAGAATGAGGAGGCAACTGGACTATCTCCAAGGACCTCTTTTGGCCCAAGAAATCATTCCAAAGTTTTTCCAGTTTTGAAACCCTATGTATTAACTCCCATAAATCTTTACTTGATGGCATTTCAGTAAACGCAGAGCAGTAGAGTGAGACAGACCTCTATAGGGCCACCAAAGTACAGATCAGCTTTTGCTTTACGCTGCTTTCCTTTTTCATTGTTTCTTCCATTTCTAGGTGTAGGGCATGGAAGGACCCAGACCTCCCACAGGTCATTTAAGAACTCCAAGTTTTTTTCACAACAGCCCCCAAAGGGAGAGAGGAGAGCCTGGAGACCTGACTTGTAAACTAGAGACTGCCTGTCAGCATATTATGGATATAACTAAAGAAAGGAGGTTGAAATATGATCATTGCTTTGTACTGCAACAACACAATGAGATCCCAGACTGAAGAACCATTTCTAACACACCTCTGTATCCCCAGGACCTACCACAATGTCTAATACAGACTAAGGTGCTGAGTAAGTATTGATTCAGGGACTCAAAGCACTGTATCTAATTAGGTAAGAATACCCACCTTCTGTTCTTTACAAAGCTAAGTTTTAATGATTACTTATATATATTGAATCAACTATCATGACTTTCTATGAGGCTATTCTAAATTTAAAAATATTTAGAGTGATTTCATTATGAAAATATTGTGGCTGTATGTGTGCTATAGTCACACATACAATATTGGAGCATCACAAAAAAAGTCTTCGAGTTTTTGTAATTTTATCTCTACAAATGCATTTTTTAATGTTGTGAAATGTTTTTTTTAAAAATAGGAAGATGGTTATTATGTGCACAATATGTTTATCAGATGCAGCCAGATGGTTCAACCACAGTGTACGGAGAGAGGGAGGTCATTCCTACATTCCTGCAATGATGCAGATCAAGTGAACTGAGCCCCCAGACGGTAGGAGGTAAGAAATTCTCTACCTTGACCATAAGGCTGCCCAGATGTCCAGGAGATAGCTCCTGGGCAGGGGCGAAGGGATTCCACTATCCTTAAGAAAAAATATCCTGAAACCAAGATCTTCAAATGCTCAGACTCTCAAATACCACGGCCCCGGGACTGAAGCTCATTGCTCAGGAGGATATTCTCTGCTGGTTTAACGTACTTTCGTTCCTGTCTGATCTTCCCGCACTGAGTCAGGTGACGCCCCGCCGCCCCTGTCCCCCTGTCGCCTCCCCTGCTAGATTCCCTATGTTCGGACCCCAAAACTCCATTACCAAGGCTTAAATGCAATGTTATGAGAGGGGCTGAGCCATCAGTAGCATGCACGTGACGGGCCCATCACACTAAAGAAAAAATGAAAGCAAAGGAGCAACCTCCTGGACAACGAAAAGACTTTTCCCCATTAGCATCCCTTCAGGTGAGAAACACGTGAGTCTGCGCCATGGGTCAGGCAACCACGCGTGCCCACTGCCAAATACCCGGACGCCACACCTCCAGGAAGGTGGGGGCCTTCTTCAAGGGGGCGGAGCATCTTCCTCGTTATTCCGCTTCCCAGAAGCCATCGCGCAGCTTGGTGGAGATAAAAAAAAGGGCGGGAGCGCACCGGGAGGCTCCAGTCAGTCAGGCGTTGGCGCTGTGGTCCTTTATCTTTTCTTCACCCGCCTCCTTCCGTTCTGCTCCGCAGGCAGCTACGTTGCCAGGACGCTGGCGCACTCAGACTGTAGCTTGTTTCCTCAGGAAGGCGAAGAGACAGGCTGTGGAGGCCCAAGAGGTCCCCGAGGCCGCGGGGGTGGGGTGGCAATGTGGTCACTACGGGTCTATACCCGCAAGAAGCGGGCCGGCCAGAGGCTCAACCTAACCCCGACGCCGGACCTAGGCCCCACCGCGAAGGCAGAGGCCCCCCCAGGTCCAGGCAGAAGGCACGCTGCGCACTGTAAGCCCCGACTGGCAAGCCTGTGGAGCAGACCCAGGGTGGGCGAGCGAAGTTGCTGGGGGGTGGGTGGGTGGGGTGACTAGGCCTCGGCCCAGGGACACCCGAGCGCGGCAAGGCGGCCTCCAGGGCTTTGCCCTGAAATATGCCGTCCTCTCTTAGGCCTGAAAGGAAACGCGCACCGTTTGCGGAAGATCTCAGAGAAAGCAGAGTGCAGTGGGCAGGGAGTTAGCGGCTCTAGGCCACCGAGGTGCGTAAGCCACTAGTGCCAAGCCCATGCTTTCTGCCTCCTCCAAACTTCAGTCCTCCTTTTTCGCCTATAGCCTCTCCTTCTAAGAGTCAAGGAAGAAAATAAGTGTAATACTATTTACGATTTGGCTCCTGTTGGGACATAGACCCAGAAATTTGACTTAAGAAAGATTGATTTATTTAAAAGATTTATTTATTTGAGAGAGAGGGAGAGAGAGAGCAGACAGAGGGAGAGAGAGAGACTCCCAAGCTGACTCCCTGGGGAGCGCGGAGCCCCAGGGGCTTGATCTAGGACCCATGAGATCATGACCTCAGCCGAAATCTTTAGTGGGAGCTCAAATGACTGAGCCACCCAGGTGCCTCTGGAAATATTTATTTAAAAATTTTTTTTAAAAGAGCAGTTTTGCCAACTTGCCAACTCACTTGCCTAAAAGCAAGTGAGATAAATCCTTCAGGAAAGCATTCATAGCACCAGCGAATATTGGTACAATTAACCCACTGGAGTCTTTACTTTTTCCTAATGATGTCCCCAAATAGCCTTTAAGATTCTGAACAGTGTGAACTGTGAACGGAGATGTGGAGAGCCAAATCCAGACCATGCAAATTAATTGCTTTGTTTGTTTGTTAGCCCTCGGTTAAGAGTTACAGGACAGGAAAGCCTGCAAGAAAATAGCACTAATGAAGAGACCCCGGATGAGAAGATAGCTCCATTGAGTGTATGTATATTTCTCTTACGGACCTTGGATATACTTAAAGCAGAGACCAATGGTAACTGATGTGCCTCCAGATTAAAGTGTAATAAGGATTTTGTTCAATAGCTACATAGCTTCCTAGCGTTTTTGTAAACATTGGTGTTTTCTCTTTAGACAGGGTCTGGAATTTCTAATTCTGGTGGATTCATAGTCATATTTTTTTTGTTTTTAATTTCCGTTGACAAAAATTTGAGAAATGCCCGTTACTCACTAATTTTCTATGAAACAGGTATCTGTAAGTTTTTCTTAGTAACTCCCTTACGTATAGTAGCACTTAAACCATTTTAAAGCCATTTTCATTCTCATTTGAATTTCCATTAACTAGAAAGTGTTCATTACCATTAGAATATTATATAACTTCTTGACCTACTCTATTTAATATGGATTCTGTACAATATTTTAAAGATACATAGTAATTTGGAGAAACTCAGATTTTAAAAATTGCTTGTTACTCATCTACCATTAGCATTAAGTAGTCATGTTCCAGAGCTTTAGCTTACATATCTCTCTAAAACATGTGTTTTGGGGGTGGGCAGTTTCAACAAAAGGCATTTTTTTAAAATGCTTTACCCCAGATTTTAACAGTGTTAAGTGTTCCTTGTAGATGTTTCAGATTATACAAAAAAAAAAAAAAAAGTGTTTAAAAGGTTTCTAATTTTTTTGTATTTCTTTACATTCCTTCTTTCTGTGCCCTTTTTTTCAATTTAGAGATTGTTATCTTATTGTATATTCCTCTAACATTAAATGGCCTTCAAAAATATGATTTTTAGTGTCTAAATAGTGCTTTGTCTTATAGATAAATATACTGTAATTTATATAACTATTTTCCTGTGGTTGGAGGATTGAGATTGGATCATGTTTAAAGTTTGATTCATGTTGGCCACTTGGCATCATTTTACCTGATACTTTAAAAGTATATATATTTTATTGAACACTACATCTGAAACTAATGATGTACTATATGTTGGCTAATTGAATTTAAATTTTAAAAAAGGAAAAAAATACATATATTTGATAGATGAAAAGTAGCATTTATTTGATACTGCATTTCTCTGAATGCTAGTAAAGTTTATACTTTTTTTCCCTTATTTTATTGGCCATTTGTGTTTCTTTTTTTGTGAAATGCTTATTCATTATATATTGAAGATAGTTACACTTTTATACACACATGTAACAAATATTTTTATATTTTTTTGTTTGCCTTTAATCATATTCCTGATATTTTAGATTCATCAGTCTTTTCATTTATTTTGCTTTCATATTTAGAGAAAGAAAAGCCCTTCCTACCTAGGGGATCAGAAAAATAGTCACCTTTAACTTCTAGTTGCTGGTTTATCCCACAGTAGTTAGTTGACTAGTATATTGCTGACTCTCTAAATATGTCCACGTTATTATATTTTAATATTTATTTTTAGATTTAATATTAAATACCAGATTACATCTGTGATTAGTAGGCTGAAAGAATCTATTACCTATGAAACTGATACAAAAAGTTGATATTAGTTTTTCATTTTCAAAATAACCAAATCAATGTGATGTAATGTAATATGAAAATATTCAGTCCCATAATTTGTGCTATATCTTTAATTCTTATTTCCCTTAGGAGTCAGTGACTGATGACCTCCAGGTTGACTGTAGTTCATCCAATAGTGAGCTAGTGTCAGGTAAGATTGTCAGATGTGAACTCCCTCAACTTTGTTTCTTACAGATATAAGCATCCATTTGTATTTTTGCCTCATCTTCCCATCTCAGTGGAAGAGGTGTCTTTCTCCTAGTCCAAGGTGAATCCTTCTGCCCGTACAATGGACGTCATCCTCAAAGCGTTCAAGCACACACCAGTAAATTAAAATTGAGATAAATACTACAAAAGAGATTGACTCGAGTATAACTAATTGAGTTTAATTAGAGAGTTTAGGGAAGGCTTCCATGAGGGAATAGCAATTGAATTGAGATAGGAAGAAAAGGAGAAATTAACTATGCAAGGAGATGAGTTAAGAGCCATCCAGGCAGAGGGAACAGCATGTGCAAAAAGACCCTAATATGGCACTAAGCCTCATGAGTTCAGTGAACTGAAAGAAAGCCAGTGTGGCTGTAGTACAGAGAGGAGGGGGAAATGCAATAATAAGACAAGGTTGAACAGAGAGAGGCCTTGCATAACCTTGTAGGCTATGTCAAAGATTTTGGTGTTTATATTTGGAGCAGCAAGAAGCCACTGAAGTCTTCCTTAGGAAAGTATATGATCACCTTGGCTGTGGTATGGAAATAAGCATGAATGGATGCAAATAGACCAGATGGAAGGTTATTACAGTAGTTTAGGGGGAAATGATGGCACTTTGTACTAAAAGATGACATTGGAAATGGAAGGAAGTGAGCATAACTCATGACAATTTTAGGAAGTGAAACTGACAGAGTTTGGCAAATGAAGAACGAAGGAGATGGAGGTATCAAAGATGACGTCTGTTTCTGGCTTGAATAACTGGGTATAAGGTGATGCCATTTACTTCATTTACTTACTTTACAAACAAAAATCTTGTTTGAGGGAAAGATCATAAACTATGTTTTTAATATATTAAGTTATGAGTACTTTTAAGATGATTAAGTAGAATGCCAAATAGGCAGTTGGATATGGAGGGCTGCTGATAGAAATTTATGAGCCGTCTACATATTGTTATAATCAAAGTTATTTTTAAAAATAAGAAAGGATGCCATTAGCATACCAGAAATCCTGAGGAATTCTTAAAAGCAGATGAGATCAGACTGCTGAATATCTGAAGAGCAGAGAAAACCACTGCTGAGGTAATAATAGCTCTAGAAACATTTGAAGCAGTTGGTCAATCAATGCAAAAAAAAAAAAATTGTAATAGAAAGGACCCTGAAGGAATTATCAAGGTGATGGATTAAACACTACATTCTGTAACTATGTGGCCTGGTTCCTCCTCCTCATCCCTTTCTTACATTGGAAACATTGGCAGTTACAATGCTGGCTGCCAGGATAAACCCTGGGAACTACTAAACAAAGTGAACTAAGGGTTTGGCTCCTAAGTGTCAATTTTGGGCCTGGAGTGAGAAGCAGAAGAGAGTCTGAAGTAACTCCAGATTGCCACAAGGATAGCAGAGGGAGAAAAAGGTAAAAGGGATAGATTATGCTTATGCTTGTTAACCCCAGGGTAAAGACATAGTATGACTCTCTGAAGTGGGATTTCTTTTCCCTTTTTTTAAGATTTTTTATTTATTTATTTGAGAGAGAGAGTGAGCATGTGCACATGAGAGAGAAGGAGCAGGAAGAGGGACAGAAGCAGGGAGCCTGGTATAGGGCTGTGTCCAAGGACTCTGGGATCATGAGCTGAGTTGAAGGCAGATACTTAACTGACTGAGCCACCCAGACGCCCCTGAAGTGGAATTTCTGATAATGGAGGCTTGTGGTGTATACACTAGCCAGACAATTAGGACAGTGCTCCATGTAACCTATAATACCCAGAAAATACAGGAGGACATCACCATGCAGAACACAGATTCTCAGAATGTCTCAACACTCATAAAAGTCTCCAGAAGTAGGCTGCTGTTTCAGAATTTATATGCACTGCTTTACAAACAACGATTCTCAAGTAGAGATATGAACAGACAACCAGAAGCAGCCAGACCTTTGAATAAAACCAGTGGCATGGAAGAGAGGCAACAAATCGAGCAAACAGAATAACTAACACCTGAGAAATAGCAAAAAACTTTAAATATCTCTTTAAAGACAAGAGGCCGGGGTGCCTGGGTGGCTCAGTTGGTTAAGCGTCTGCCTTCAGCTCAGCTCATGATCCCAGAGTCCTGGGACAGAGCCCTCTACTGGGCTTCCTGCTCAGCAGTGAGCCTGCTTCTCCCTTTGCCTGCCGCTCCCCCCCTGCTTGTGCATGCTCACTCTCTCTCTCTCTCTCTGTCAAATAAATAAATAGAACATTAAAAAAAAAAGAAAAGAAAATCGGGGTGCCTGGGTGGCTCAGTCGTTAAGCGTCTGCCTTCGGCTCAGGTCATGATCCCAGCATCCCAGGATCAAGCTCTGCATTGGGCTCCCTGCTCTGTGGGGAGTATGCTTCTCCCTCTGCCTGTCCCCCTGCTCGTGCTCTCTCTCCCTCAAATAAATAAATAAAATATTAAAAAATAATAGTAAAGACAAGAGGCCATTGGATCCATAATATAACAATCTGTTTTAACAAAAACTATAGTCCCTAGAAACTAAAAATATCGTCAAATTTAAAAACTCAGAAAATGATCCAAATATTGAAATGAATTCAGCTCAAAATCAAATTAGCTGGCTAGAAAATAGGATAGAGAAATATTTCCTAGAATATAGTACAAAAGAACTTGGGAGGTGCTCAACAAATGCATTTCCTTCCTTCTCCCCTCTTCACCTGTTTAACTTGTACTTGTTCTTCAAGAAAAAAAAAAAAATCAGGTGCTGTCTCTACTGGGAACTCTCTTGACCCCTCTTCTCTCTTTCTACATGAATTGTTCTTTCCTGGGAATTCTGTGGTACTCTTTGTATACTTCTGTTAGGACTCAAAACAGCAGTATTACTGCTGTTGTTACTCTTGGCTCTAAAGCCATTGGGAATAAGCCCTACCTTTTATGTTCCTATCCCATGTTTGGGACATAATATAATTTCAAATACTTTTGAGTGAGTTTTATACTCTGTTTAGAGAAAATAAACTATTTAACCATAATTATTATTTTCTTAAATTGTAGTTTAAATACACAATATATGTCCTTGGTTACTAGATTTATCAAGTTGATGTGTAAAAGATAGAAGGAAATAGAGAATAGACTGTCTCTAATTTGCAAACTGGTTGTATTCTAAGACATCATTTGTTGATTGATATTTGAAACCTGGAATACTTTTTCCCATAATGTAAATGGTTAGGTTTTGAACAGCCTACAGATTTCTATTTAATATATAAGTAACCATTTTAATTCTATCTTGGAATGTAGTAATTTTGCAACATAATGAAAATTAATTCAGGACTTTATATTTAGTGTGGAAGATTGAACATAGACATTTACTTCTCCCTTTCCTGAGAGAGAAGAAAAAAATAACAGACTAGATGCCTAGAGTAAGGACAAACGAAGAAACCAAACTGATTCAGGCTATAGTTTCAGGAATTAGAGGCATCACATATTCCTGAAGAAATGTGTACAGATAGTGTTGAGAATAAGATTTTTGGAAATCTTTAAAAGTAATGGTTAGATGCTTTGATCCCTTCCCCAGCACTGTGTGGTCAGGCAACTACTCTTTTTCCTACCTTGACAGTCCAGATACATTGAAGCAGAGGATCTGGACTCAGGGATGCTGTATTAAAAATTAGTAGGGGTGCAGGGAGGAGGGAAGGGAATTAACTAAAGTTTGTATACTTAGTGGTATAACTTTTAGGCCCATTATCCCACCTTACCCCACTCAGGAAAATACTTCCCAACTAGGAGACTAGAGGATTCTGCTTTTGGAATCTTCTCTGACCAGAAGGAGACCTATATTCTGTCAGTAATGACCTGGTCCCTATCTTAAATACCTTTCTGTGAAGCCCACTACTTCCTAAACCCCACTCATGAATCTAGAGTTTCCAATTAACGTTTTAGTGCCTCATTCTTGAACATTCAAGAATTACAAGGCATTTAATGAAAGCATTTAAAGTAAGTGGTACCACATGAAAAGAAGCTTGAAGGACACAGACAGTGCAAAGAAAAAAAATTTAAAAGCCATGTTTTCATTATCCTCAGGATAATGAAATAATAATCCTGAAGATAATGAAAATATGTATCCATGATAAAAGTATGTGCTACTATGAAAAGGAGCAGCTAGAGAACAAAAAGTATTCTTAAAAAGTAAAAACACAACGTCAGAAATAAAACATTCTGTGAAAGATTAGATGATGAATTTAAGAAAATATTCTAAAAGTTGAACAAACATCAGAAGATAAAAGATAAAAATAGTAGCAGTGGTGACACAATTCTGTGAGTATACTAAAAATCACTAAATTGTATACTTTAAAAGGTGATTTATGGAATATGAATTGTATTGCAATAAAGCTACTTTAAAAAGAAAAATAATGAGAAGTTGAGTTCAGACATTCTAACATCTGAAAAATAGTAGACCCAGACATTATAGAGTAAACAGAGAGGAAATTATTAAACACATAGAGCTAGAAATCTTTCTAGAATTAAGAATGGTCATGAATATATATAACGAAAGAGCCCACCAATTGCCCATCACAGTGAATGAAAAAAGGCCCATACCAAGGCACAACAAAATGTAACTTAAAGATCCTCAGGATGAAGAGAGAAATCCTTTAGTCTTCCAGGAAAAAAATTGTTGATTGCAAATAAGCAATGAAGAATATGAATGGCATTGAGTTTCTCAAGAGCAATTCCAGAAGCTAGAACATGGTGGGGAAATACATTTAAAATTCTGAAGCGTACTGATTTTGCAGAGATAGAACGGATCCCCAGCCAAAACTTGGTTCAGATTTCAAGATTGATGATGCCACCCATATAACCAAGAAGGCAAGGAAAGGTTTGTCACTCATATAATGCGATTTTCTAGAGAGAAGTGCATCTTCCAAATAGGACTGAAAATGGCTTGAGAGAACAGGGAGAAGAAATGGTGGGAGGGGTGTTAGGTGGGGCCAGGATGGGGTTTCCCAGACGTGGTTTTAACTTGTAGCCATTGCCAAAAGATGGAACATCAGGACTTTCTTATCAGCTTGCCCAGATGTGGGGCAGAAGGGAAAGAGACAGCAGTGAGGCTTAAATTTGTCAAACATCAGAAAATGGAATCAGTCATTTTAATAGACTAGTCTAGAATTTTGTACTCAGGCAAATAATCACTCAAGCGTGAAGATAGTATAAACAAATTTTTAGACAGGTCTTCCATACATCTTTTCTCGTGAGATAAAGGAGATACTCCAACAAAACTAGAGAATAAATCAATAAAGAAGAAATCAAGGTATCCAGGAATCAGAGACAATATGTGAAAGAACTTCTTAGGATAATGGTAAAAGGGGAATTCCAAGAAGACACTGTGCAGCATGTCTAGAGGACAAGAAGTCTGAATTTGAGCAAGTGTATTGAGATCTCCAATAACAATACTTCTTAAAAAAAAAAAAAAAGGAAATGGAAGGAAAGAGGAGAAAGAGGGAATGAGGATGGAAAGAAAAGAAAAAAGAGAAAGGAACCTGGAATTTTTAAAGTATTGAGAAGAGATTTATACTTTTGCAAGTATTTGGGACAGAATAGTGTTAGGTACTTAGAAAACTAATTTTAAAATTGAGTAATCAATAACTGAAAAAAAAACCAACTTGTAGCAAATGGTCTGACTATAGCTTATAGTATATGGCTTGGGTATAAATATATTTGAGCAGTCATAATAGAATTGTTGAATACATTTTAATTTAGAAATATAAAGGGGGTGTTAGAAGAAATAGCTAGTAAAGTTGAAAGTAGTCTCTGGAGATTAGGGAATTATGGGGTGGTATGAGACAAGAGATTGCTGTTTTGCCTTATAGAACAGTTTGACTTTGTATATATATGTGTGTGTGTATATGTATGTGTGTGTATATATATATATATATATATATAGTAAAATTTGATATAAATATGACTTTTAAAGATTTTTTTTAAAGATTTTATTTATTTATTTGACAGAGACAGCGAAGAGAGGGAACACAAGCAGGGGGAGTGGGAGAGGGAGAAGGAGGCTTCCTGCAGAGCAGGGAGCCTGATGCGGGGCTCGATCCCAGGACCCTGGGATCATGACCTGAGCCGAAGGCAGACGCTTAATGACTGAGCCACCCAGGCGCCCCATGACTTTTAAAGATTTTATTTATTTATTTGACAGAATGAGACAGCGAGAGAGAGAACATAAGCAGGGGGATTGGGAGGGGGATTGGGAGAGGGAGAAGCAGGCTTCCCACTGAGCAGGGAGCCCAATGTGGGGCTCCATCCCAGGACCCTGGGATCATGATCTGAGCCAAAGGCAGATGCTTAATGACTGAGCCACCCAGGCACTCCTGATATAAATATGACTTAAATGCATTTACATTTCTAACTTGTGACTCCAGGAACATCATTCCACTGCTATAATCATGAATATTTATTTATTCTTTTCTCTATCCAACTACGCAGATGGTGAGTATGGGGTTTTCCTAATTTCTGAGCCTGGATTGAGTTCTGGGGTTTGGTGGAAGGGATGGCTCTACTGTGTGTGGTGTTCACGGAATTTTGAAAGCTGGAAAGCAAGAGAGATGTAACAACATGTGTTAGGGGGGAGGATGAAGACAGACTGAGAAGACTAAAAAGTAGTGAGGACAGGAACAAGACACTCTAGGGCACTTGGAGTAGGAGAAACAAAAGATGCTCAGAGGGGTAACCTACCCATGACATCTGATGTGGTGAAGAGGAGGTTAGATTGGGTCAATCAATTTAAGTGTTGAGTGGTGGTTGGAAGAGGGGGACAGATAGGAAATAATTGTCAACTTTAAGGATGGCATTGGAGTGGAAGAGAAAGATGTGGTGAGGTCAAAGTAGGAAGGACAAAGAGTTAGTTGTCTTAGGTAGGTAATGGATGAGGAGAGATGGGCTATAAGTCAGCACCCTGGCAGGAAAAATAAGTTTATCAGAGTCATGCTCCCCTTTTATCCCTTACGTCTCCCCCCCAGTTTTTATTTAGTGTTAACATCTATTTTTTTCAGTTGAAAGTGTTTAATAAATGCTGACTAGAGAAGACTACGTTTTCCCTTTTCTTCCTAAACCTGTTTCTTAAGTTTTGGTATTAATTTGTATCTCTATCATTTATATGAAAGTTCTTCATTGTAGTTCATTCTCACAGGGATAACTTTAAGACCTCTTAGTTTGGGAGATTCTCTGTTCAAATATTTTGCCCCTTCTTGAAAGGTTTGTTTTCTTCTTATAGAGTTTTCAGAATTATTTATATTCTGGATTCCAATCCATTTGCAAATGTTTTCTCTTAATCTGTGGCTTGTCTTTTCATCTTAACAGTCTCTTTCAAAGAGAAGTTTTAAATTTGATGAAGTTTTTTTTTTTTTTTAATTTTATTTATTGGGGCGCCTGGGTGGCTCAGTCATTAAGCGTCTGCCTTCAGCTCAGGTCATGATCCCAGGGTCCTGGGATTGAGCCCCCCGTCGGGCTCCCTGCTCAGTGGGAAGCCTGTTTCTCCTTCTCCCACTCCCCCTGCTTGTGTTCCCTCTCTCGCTGTGTCTCTCTCTGACATTTTATTTATTTGACAGAGATAGAGAGAGAGCACAAGTAGGCAGAGAGGCAGGCAGAGGGAGAGGGAGAAGCAGGCTCCCTGCTGAGCAGGGAGCCCGACATGGGGCTTGATCCCAGAACCCTGGGATCATGACCTGAGCCAAAGGCAGCCACTTAAATGGACTGAGCCACCCAGGCGCCCCAAATTTGATGAAGTTTAATGATCATTGCTATTATTATTGTAAATCTTAGTGTTATAAGAAATCTTTGCCTACCTCAGTGTCATGATGATTTTCTCCTCGGTTTTTTTTTTTTTTCTAGAACCTTTGTAGTTTTAGGATTTACATTTATGTCAATGACCTGTTGAGAGTTAATTTTTTATATGATGGAAAGTATGAATGCAGGTTTTTTGTTTTGTTTTGCTTTTGCATATAGATACACAGTTGCTTCAAGATTATTTGTTTAAAACAGTGTCCTTTCTCCACTGAATTGCCTTTGCATCTTGGTAAAAAAATCAGTTGCTCATATAAGTATGAGTCATTTCTGGGCTTTCTGTTGAATTCCTTTGATCTATTTGTCTATGTTTAAGCTTGTTGTTTTTTAAATGGAGTAACTAGAATTACTTTTTCTTCTCAGCTAGTTAGTTTACAATTATGGGTTACTTATATGTAAAACTTGCATTTTGGGGTCAAAAATCACAACTGAACCAAAGGAGGGGAAGAAATAAATTATGAAACTTGGTAAAGCAATGGAAAAAGATTATAATGCTTTCTCTACATCAAAACCAGAATTATTTTCTAAGGTTGAAGTTAAAGTGGTGTACAATAGTATGCCTTTTCAGTTGTTTGTATAAGTAATTTTACATTCTCTGTATACAACTGCATGTATGTTTCTACAAATATGAATTCCTAGGATTTTGAGTCTGTTTACTATTGAAACATTTTACTCTTTTTGTTTGTTTATTTTATAGGACTAAGTGTACAGCATGGTATTTCTAGTTCTCTTCTGAGCTATTCATTCACAGACTCTTACACAGAATACAAGAGTTTTGAAGAGAGTTTAAGTAGTTTCCCATCACCTGAACTCTTCAGAGGATCAGATTATTTAGGTGAGAAAATAATCTCAACCTTTAGCTGACCCATATAGAAATTGTTCATTTGTCCACAAATCCTCCAATGAGTAATGTTCCTTTTGAGGTGTGCTTGTCTTCCTCACCAAAACCTCCTTCCCCTGCCCACTACTGTATTCCATGCTCTATCACCTAGGACTATGCATTAAAAGCTACCAGATAAGAAAAGGTTGAAGATACTAGGGGAATGCCCCAGAAATAAGCCAGTTTGATCTATAGTATCCCAGAGAAGCTCACAATTTGGCTGCACCAATACTTGTAAAAAGGTATGTCTGAAATGTGAAAGATGTGGTGATTACTTTCTTTTTTTTTTTTTAAAGATTTTATTTATTTATTAGAGAATGAGAGAGAGCAAGCACATGAGAGGGGGGAGGGTCAGAGGGAGAAGCAGACTCCCTGCCGAGCAGGGAGCCCGATGCGGGACTCGATCCAGGGACTCCAGGATCATGACCTGAGCCGAAGGCAGTCGCTTAACCAACTGAGCCACCCAGGCGCCCCATGGTGATTACTTTCTTACTCTAATGGAACCTGGAGATTTATTCTTTGGGATGTTCTGAAACAGAGGAACTATGGACTGGAGGATACTAGGCACTGTTAATAGGAAGGATTTATGATATTTTGACATGTTGGTCCCAAATACTCATTCCCCTGTGGTAATATTATATATCCATACCCTTACCATGTCCTCGTAGTGGGTGGAGTGTACTCTCTCCCTCTTTGGCTCTGGAAAAGCAATGGAAATGTGCCTTGCTTTGGGCAATAGGGTATCAGTGAATGAAACATAAGCAGATCTTTGAAATATGCCTAAATGGCTGGACTTGTCGTCTTACACTTTTAACAGTGTGAGAAGAATATATCCTAATTAGCTTCTGCTTCTCCTGTGGGGACCCCAGAATGAGAAGTATGGAACAGAACAGTCTCCGGCAACCCGCAGATTGCAGAGAGCTGCCCCAGCTGATCAGCAGATTTGTAATCTGAAGCAGACCTGCCTGAGCCAACCAGTAGACATAGGAATAAGAAATAAATGTTTTCATTTTATGTCAGTGAGATTTGGGTTGATTTATTATATAGAAAAAGCCAACTGTTTCAGATACTGTACTGAATGAAGAGGGGAAATTAAGTGAAGTGTACCTTGTGAATTGTGGTATCTTCTCACCTAATGCTTGTTCCCATCCCAACCCAGCATTCCCTTTTTCTGTTCAGCTTCTAGAATACTAGCACCCAGACTTGAACCTTTCGGGCAGGAGAATGGAAGATTCTTTCCTAACAAATCTGAAAACAACCCTAAAGAAAATATCTAATGACACCGACCTCAGTAGCCCTTCAGTGAAACTGACAAGAACACCCTACAATGAAGTTAACTTGTGACAAAACCCAACTAGGCCACAGAAATCCCAGTTAGGCTTTTAGAGCTCTCTCTTAAATATGAGTAGAGAGACAAGGATCACCAGACCTCTGAGGAAAGCTTCTAATATAAAACATAGGGATCAGAACAAAGGAAAATATGGAAGTGACATCAGCAAAATGTTGGAATAAAAGCCTGGTCCCTCCTTCCCCTGTGGATACACCAATTCAACAGTAATACATGGACTTACTCCTTTTGAGAGAAATCTGGAACCTAGTCAAGGAACTCTTACACCACAGGCATGTATGAGATCAGTCACATCAAAGCCAGTAGGAAAATTCAAGGCACTCTCTCACCATAATCCCTACCCATAGCACATTGCCACACAATTGGCAGGAAACCCCAGGTCCCAGCTTCTCCCTTGGGAGGGAAGAAAAGAACTGAACCATGTGTGAAATGTACATTTTCTGGGAGCTTCCCAAAGGATTGGCTACTCTCATGACTGTTTCAGAGTGCTGTCTAAGGGAATGGCTTCTGTCTCATCTGTCTCAGAGTGCTGATGGGACCTGGTATATTCTAGATGACTGTTGGCCACTACCAACAAATACGGTGTGTGAGGAAAGCTTAAGAGACTCATGGAACACAACCAAACAGAGCAATTTATACTTCATAGGAGTCCCAGAGGGAGAAGAGATGAGGGAGGGAAAGAAAGAAGGGAGGGATAAAGAGAAGGAAGAGGGGGAAAGAGGGAGGCAGGGGGAAGAGGGGAAAGAAAAAGGGGGTAGAGGGAGGGAAAGGGAGAAAGAGAGCATGCCTGAAAGTTTATTTATAGAAATAATGGCTGCAAACTTCCCAAATCTGGGGAAGGAAATGCACATCCAGACCTAGGAGGCCCAGTGAATCTCAGAATAGGCAAATCAAAGAAATCCACACAGGGACTCATAATCAAATTATCAAACATCAAAGACAAAGAATTTTGAAAGCAGCAATAGAAAAGCAACTTGATACGTTCAAGGGAACCTCCATTAGACTATCGATGGATTTCTCAGCAGAAACATTGCTGGCCGAAGGGAGTAGAATCATACAAAGTGATGAAAGAAAAGAAACTGTCAACCAAGAATACTATAACCAGCAACATTATCATTTAAAAAAAACAATAATGGAGTATTATTCAGCCATAAAAAGAATAAAATCTTGCCACTTGCGAAGACATGGATGGAGCTAGAGAGTATAACGCTAAGTAAAATAAGAGAAAGACAAATACCATATGATTTCACTTGTATGTGGAATTTAAGAAACAGAAGAGCAAAGGGGGAAAAAAGAGAGATAAACCAAGAAACAAACTCTTTTTTTAATAAGATTTTATTTATTTGAGAGAGAAATAGTGAGAAATAGAACACGATCAGTGGGGAGACAGAGAAGCAGGCTCCCCGCCGAGCAGGGAGCCCAGTGAGGGCTTGATCGCAGACCCTGGGATCATGACCTGAGCCAAAGGCAGATGCTTAACTGACTGAGCCATCCAGGTGCCCCAGAAACAAACTCTTAACTGTAGAGAACAAACTGATGGTTACCAGAGGGCACATGGGTGTGGAATGAGTGAAATAGGTGATGGGGATTAAGGAGTGCATGTGTCCTGATGAGCACCATGTAATTAAAATAAAAGCTTGGAGAAAAAAATAAATGAAGAGATAAGGGGTTTCTTGTATAAAAGGTGAAGGAGTTACTCACCACTAGCCCCACCTTACAAAAAAATGGTAAAGGGAGTTCTTCAAGTTGAAACAAAGGACTAAAACAGCAACACAAAAGCATATAAAAACATAAAACTTGCCAATAAGTTTATATACAAGTACAAAATAATACTGTAACAGTGGTATTAAAATCACTTAATTCTAGTATAAAAGTTAAAAGACTAAAGTATTAAAATAACTATAATAAAAATGTTAATGGATACACAATATAAAAAGATGTAAATTATAACATCAGTAACAAAGTGTGTGTGAAGGAAGAAATAAAAATACAGTTTTTTGGGAGGTCTGGGTGGCTCAGTTGGTTAAAGTGTCAGCCTTCGTTTCAGGTCATGATTCCAGGGTCCTGGGATCAAGACCTGTGTCAGGCTCCATGCTCAGCAGGGAGCCTGCTTCTCCTCCCTCTGCCACTCCCCCTGCTTGTGCTCTCTCACTTTCTCTCTCTCTCAAATACATAAATAAAATCTTTAAAAAATAAAAATAAAAAGTTTTTTTTTTTTTAAAGATTTTATTTATGTATTTGAGAGAGAGAATGAGAGACAGAGAGCACGAGAGGGGAGAGGGTCAGAGGGAGAAGCAGACCCCCTGCTGAGCAGGGAGCCTGATGTGGGACTCAATCCTGGGACTCCAGAATCATGACCTGAGCCGAAGGCAGTCACTTAACCAACTGAGCCACCTAGGCGCCCAAAAATAGAGTTTTTGTATATGAGTGAGGTTGCTAGAAACTTAAAATTGTTAAAACTGTATTTTATATAAGCACCATGGTAACCACATAGAAAATACCTATAGAAGATACTCAAAAGATTGGGGCACCTGGGTGGCACAGTTGGTTAAGCATCTGACTCTCGGTTTCAGCTTAGGTCACGATCTCTGGGTCCTGAGATCGAGCCCCACATTGGGCTCTGCACTGAGCATGGAGTCTGTTTTCTCTGCCCCTCCTCCCTGTACGCATGCTCTCTCTCTCTAAAATAATAAATCTTTTTAAAAAAGATACACAAAAGAAAAATAGGAATAAAAGCATATCAGTATGAAAAAAATCAATGAAACGAAGATGGCAGCAGAGGAAAAGGGGGCAAAGGAACTCAAAGAAAATAATTAACAAAATAATAATAGTCTTTCCCTATCAGTAATTACTTTAAATGTGAATGGTTTAAATTCCCCAACCAAAAGACAAAGAGTGGCTGAATGGATTAAACTATACTATGCTGTTTACACAAGACTCTTTACATTTCAGGACACACATAGTCTAAAAGTGGAGCAATGGAAAAAGATATTCTGTGCAAATGGTAACCAAAAGAGAGCAGGAGTGGCTCTACCTATATCAGCTAAAACAGACTTTAAGTCAAAAACTATCACAAGAGACAAAGACATAATGATGAAAGGGTCAATTAATCTGGAACATACAATGATAAATAGGCACTCAGCATCATAATACTGATAGACCTAAAGGGAGAAATAGGCATCCATATGGTAATGGAGATTTCATTACTCCCACTTTCAATAACGAATAGAACATCTACACAGAAAATCAACACTTTTCGATTTCAAAAAATATTGCAAAACTACAGCAGTTGTAACAATATGGTACTGGCATAAAGATAGACATATAGATGAATAGAATGGAGAGCCCAGAAATGAATCCATGCTTATACGGTCACCTGATTTTAGATGAAGAGTGGCAAGAATAAACAATAGGGAAAGAATAGTCTCTTCAGTAAATTATGTTGGAAAAACTGGACTTCCACATATGAAGGGATGAAATCAGGCCATTACCTTACATAATATAGAAAAACCAACCCAAAATGCACTAAGGACTTAAACATAAGACCAGAAACTATAAAACTCCTAGAAGAAAACATAGGGGGAAATCTTGATGATATTGGTCTTGACAATAATTTCTTAGGTGTGATACCAAAAGCACAGTCAACAAAAGCTAAAATAGTCGGGTGGGATTCCATAAAACTAAGAAGCTGCACAGCAAAAGAAACAACAGAACAAAAAGGCAACCTTCAAAAAGGAAGAAATGTTTGCAAATCACATATCTGATAAGAGATTGATATCTAAAATCTGTAAGAAACTCCTGCAACTCGGTAGGACCAAAACAACAAATAACCCAATTACCTTACGGGCAAAGGACTTGAATAGACATTTCCCCAAAGGAGACATACAATGGCCAGCAGGGGATGCCTGGGTGGCTCATTCGGTTAAGTGTCTGCCTTTGGCTCAGCTCATGATCCCAGGGTCCTGGAATCAAGTCCTGCATCATGCTCATTGCTCAGTGGGGAGCCTGCTTCTCCCTCTGTCTCCTCCAGCTTGTGCTCTCCCTCCCTCTCTCTGACAAATAAATAAAATCTTAAAAGAAAAAGACTAAGAACAAACAAACAAATGACCAACAGGTATATGAAAAGATGCTCAACATCACAATTTTCAGGGTATGCAAATTAAAACCACAACGAGATCTCACCTTATACCTGTTAGGATGATAATGATAATGATTAATAATAATAATAGTAGTAATAGTAGTAAAGCAAGTGTTGATAAGAATGTGGAGAAATTGGAACCCTTGTATAATGTTGGGATTGTAAATGGTGTAGCTGCTATGAGAAACAATGTGGAGGTTCCTCAAAAAATTAAAAATAGAACTACCATATGATCCACCAACCCAAAGTGTATTTATCCAAAGTGTATACGTATGATGGAGTAGTATTCAGCCTTAATAAAGGGAAATCTTGCCATATGCAGGAAGATGGACAAATTTGGAGAATGTGAGGCTAAGTGAAATAAGCCAGTCACAAAAAGATAAATACTGTACCATTCCACTTGGATGAGATATCTAATATAGTCAAATTCGTTGTAGAGAGTAGAATGTTGGTTGCCAGGGCCTAGGATGAGATAGATATGGCAAGTTGTTATTCAACAGGTATTAGGTGTCAGTTTTGAAAGATGAACAGGTTCTAGAGTCCTCCTATACAACACTGTGCTATATAGTTAACAATACTCTATTGTAAACTTAAAAATTTGAGAGGATGGATTCATGTTGAATGTTCCTACTACAATAAAATGTAAAAAAGTAAGAAAAGGAACCATGCAGAAATAGAAACACAAGGATTAAAAAATGTTGAAAAAATAGTCTTATTGACATAAAATATATAGTGTCCATTAAATAAAAATAGGGTACTATAAAAAACAATATTCTGATAAATGCAATAGCAGTGAAAAACTTGGTAGAAGGATTAGAAGTTAGGGTTGAGGAGAAAAGAGTCAGGGGGAAAACAAAAAAAAAGGTTGCAATTTAGAGGGAAAAAAATCAGAGGAAGAGTATATGAAATCCATATCAAAAAAAAAGGAGTTTCAGACAAAGATAATGGAAGAAACAGAGGTAAGAAAATTATCAATGTTATAATTCAAGAGCATTTCCTAGAGCTAAAGAATATGATGTCTTTGTTAAAGGGGCCATAGTGTGCCTAGCACAATAGGTGAAAAACACCCAGATAGAGCATTATGCAACTTCGAACACTAGAGAATGAAATAAAAGGAATGGATTTATAAAATTTGATAGACTTTGTGATTAAATAGATGAAAAATACAGAGAAAATTAGAAAAGACTTACTGACTTCAGGTAGGAAAAGTGGTTGTCATAGTATACCACAAGAGTAAATAGCATTTTTATAGCAATTGATTATCATAATGTCTACATTGGATATTGATCTAACTACATATGCTAATATAATGATATCAGGACAATGGGAATTGTGGGAAAGGTGGGGACAGGGATGTAAGAGAGAATAACCTCATTCTTCCATAGTGGGAAGTCAATGGAAAGCTTAAAACTGACATCAAGTGATAAGAGTATGTTATTTAGTGATATGATATTTAATGGGACCTAGGTGTAATTTATACATAAAATATTAAGAGGACCCTCCTGGGTATGCTGTCTGTTCCTTAACTCAATAATCTTTATGGGGCAAAAATCTATGAAAGAAAGTAGGTTAGAGCACTGAAATAGGCAAAAAATTATTTATTATCCTGATACCATCAAGGCTTGTCTTTTTTTATCTGTCTTACTCAAAATCTTTAATTACCACAGCTTGGTATGGGGACCTAAGCTGGTATGGGGACCTAAATTGGGGCTGGGGGAGGTAACCTACTACTTATGTGCTGTTCAAAGTTATGTGCCATTTCTTCCTGCTCTTTTAGATTGGGAATGTCCCAAGTTGGAAGAACACATGCGATGCAAAAATTCAACTCTTCTGGATACCAGTAAAGCAGTATCAATAGAGAAGCTACCACAGTTTTCAAACCTCTCTGCAATTTTAGGTGAGTTTTCACATTCTTTTTTCTCATGTCACAGGGGAAACCCCTCATCTATGTTGGAAAATAAAGTAATTTTTTTAACGATTTATAAGCTAAATCCATCAATTAGGATTACCTTTGGCTACAAATAATATCTGACTAGTAGTAGCTTACGCACGTATGGGTCTCCTTTTTTATAACTTTTATTTTGAACTAATTTTAGACTTGCATAAAAGATGCAAAAATAATACAGAGAATTCCTATAGATCTCTCACCCAGCTTTCCCTAATGCTGTCTTATATAACATTAGTACAATGATCAGAATCAGAAAATTAACAATAACATAAAACTACTAATGAAACTACAGACTTTATTCACATTTCACCAGTTTTTCCACCAGTCTCTTTTCTTGTGTTTCAGGATCCAGCATTGCATCTGATTGTTATTTCTCCTTTAATCTACTATAGTCTATAACAGTTTCTCAGTCTTTCTTTCTTTGTCTTTCATAGTCTTGATACTTTTGAAGATTACTGATCAGTTTTATAGAACGTCCCTCAATTTGAATTTGTCTAATGTTTTCTCATGATTGGAATGAATTTATTCAATTTTTTTAAGAATGCTGCAGAAATGATGTTACACCCTTTTTAGTACATCGTATGAAGTTCTTGATGTCAGTATATCTTATTACTGGTGATATTAAACTTCGTCATTTGATTAATGTAGTGTCTGTGGTTTTCTGCATGGTTAAGTTACTAGTTTCCCTTTGTGTTACTAAATATATAGAAAAGATAGTTTGAGACCCTGTAATTCCTGTTTCTCCTCAAACTTTCATTCACTGATATTGGTAGTCATCAGAGGAATTTGACTGTGACATTTATTACTCTGGTGTTCGTCTAATGGTGATTTTCTATTTCACACTTTGCTGCTACATTTACTAATTGGAATTCTACTGTAAAAGAACTATCTCTTTTCTGCCACTTATTTATTCAGTTGTTCATATCAGTACAAAGCCATGAATATTTATATTATGTGTTAAGCAAGTCTTAGTAAATTTAAGAAGGTTGAAATCATACCATGCATCTTTCCTGACCACAACAGTATAAAACTAGAAATGAGACAAGAAAAAAACTGGAAAAAAACCCCAAAACACGTGGAGACTAAACAGTATAATACAAAACAACCAATGGGTCAACAAAAAAATCAAAGGGGAAATAAAAAATTACATGGAGACACAAGAAAATGAAAACATAATGGTCTCAAACGTTTAAAACAAGCAGTTCTAAGAGTGAAATATATAGTGATAAAGGCCTCAAGAAACCTCAGGAAACAAGAAAAAGCTCAAATAATTATCTAACCTTAAACCTAAAATAACTAGAAAAAGAACAAACAAAGCCCAAGGTGAGTAGAAAGAAGGAAAAAATAAAGTTCAGAGCAGAAATAAATGTTATAGAGACTAAAACAAAAACAAAAAACAATAGAACAGATCAATGAAAGCAGGAGCTGGTTCTTTGAAAAGAAACAAAATTGATACGCCCTTAGCCAGATTCATCAAGAAAAAAAGAGAAATTACCCAAATAAATATAACCAGAAATGAAAGAGAAGTAATAACTGACTTCAGAAATATAAAAGATTATAAGAGAATAATATGAAAAATTATGCCAAAAAATTGGACATCCTAGAAGAAATGGGTGAATTACTAGAAACATACAATCTTCCAAACTGAATCAGGAAGAAATAGAAAATCTTAACAGACCAATTACTGTAACAAATTGAATCAGTACTTAAAAAACTACCAAAAAATGAAAGTCTAGGACCAGATGATTCACAGGTGACTTCTACCCAGCATTTAAAAAAGAGTTAATACTTATTCTTCCCAAACTCTTCCAAAAAATAGGAGAGGAAGAAAATCTTCCAAATTCATTCCACAAGGCCAATATTACCATGATACCAAACTAGACAAATACACACACACGCACAGGAAGGGAAGAAGGAAGGAAGGAAAAGAATGAAAGAAAAAGAAAGAAAGAATGAAAGAAAAAGAAAGAAAGAAAGAAAGAAAAGGAAGGAAGAAAGGAAGAAAGAAAGAAAGGAAGAAAAAAGGAAGGAAGGAAGAAAAAGAAAAAGAAAGAAAGAAAGAAGAAAGAGAGAAAGGAAGGAAGGAAAAGGAAAGGAAGGAAGGAAAAGGAAAGGAAGGAAGGAAAAGGAAAGGAAGGAAGGAAAGAAGGGAAAGAAAGAAAGGAAGGAAAGAAGGAAGAAAAGGAAGGAAGGAAGAGAAAGAAAGAAAGAAAGAAAGAAAAAGAAAGAAGAGGAAGGAAAGAAAGAAAGAAAGAAAGGGAAGGAAGGAAGGAAGAAAGAAGAAAGAAAGAAAAAGAAAGAAAGAAAGAAGTTAGTTACAGGTCAAAATCCTGGATGAACATAGTTGCAAAAATCCTCAGTAAAATACTAGCAAACCTCATTAAAAGGATCATTCACTGCTACCAAGTGGGATTTATTCTAGGGATGCAAGGATGGTTCAATATTTGCAAATCAATCAATATGATATACCACATCAACAAAATGAAGAATAAAAATCATATTATCTCAGCACATACAGAAAAAACATTTAACAAAATTTAACATCCAGGGTACCTGGGTGGCTCAGTTGGTTGGGCGACTGCCTTCGGCTCAGGTCATGATCCTGGAGTCCCGGGATCGAGTCCCCCATCTGGCTCCCTGCTCAGCGGGGAGTCTGCTTCTCCCTCTGACCCTCCTCCCTCTCATGCTCTCCGTCTCTCATTCCCTCTCTCTCAAATAAATAAATAAAATCTTTAAAAAAAAAAAAATTTAACATCCATTCATGTTAAACTTCCCACAAAGTGGATTTAAAGGGAACACACTTCAACATAATAAAGGCCATCTATGAAAAAAACCCACAGTTGATATCACACCCAATGGTGAAAAACTGAGAGCTTTTCCTAGATCAGGAACAAGATAAGGATCCTAGCCACAGCAATTGAACAAGAAAAAGAAATAAGAGGCATCCATATCAGTAAGCAAGAAATTAAACTGTCATTTGCAGATGACATGATACTGTACATAGAAGAGACCCCAAAGACCTTACCAAAAACTATTAGAAGTAATAAATAAGGTCAATAAAGTTTAAGGATACAAAATTAATACCCAGAAATCGGTAACATTTCTATGCACTGATAATAAAGTAGCTGAAAGAGAAATTAAGAAAACAACTCCGTTTATAATCACACAAAAAAGAATAAAATACCTAGGAATAAACTTAACCAAGGAGGTCAAAGACATGTAGTCTGAAGATTATGAAACACTGGTGAAAGAAATTGAAGAGGACACAAATAGGAAGATATTCCATGCTCATGGATTAGAAGAATTAATATTTTTTAAATGTCCATACTTCCAAAAACAATCCAAAGATTCAGTGCAAACCCTATCAAAATACCAATAGCATTTTTTACAGAACTAGAACAAATAATTCTAAAATTTGTGTGGAACCACAAAACACCCAAATAGCCAAAACAATATTAAGAAAGAACAAAGCTGGAGGTGTTGTACTTCCAGATTTCAAGATATGCTACAAAACTGTAGTCAAAATGGTATGGTTCTGGCACAAAAATAGACACATAGATCAATGGAACAGAATAGAGAAAATTAAACAATATGGACAATCTGTGACAGAGGAGGCAAGAATATACAATGGGGAAAAGACTGCCTCTTCAATAAATGATGCTGGAAAAACTGGACAGCTATGTGCAAGAGAATGAAACTGGACGACTTTCTTACATCATATACAAAATAAACTCAAAATGGATTAAAGACCTAAATATAAGACCTGAAACCATAAAAATCCTAGGAGAGAATACAGGCAGTACTTTCTTTTGTATCAGCCATAGCAACATTTTTCTAGATATATCTCCTGAGGCATAGGAAACAAAAGCAAAAATAAACTATTGGGACTACATTAAAAAGCTTTTGTACAGTGAAAGGAACCATCAATAAAACAAAAAGGCTACCTAATGAATGGGAGAAGCTATTTGCAAATGATATATCCAATAAGGGGTTAATATCCAAAATACATAAAGAACTTCTACAACTCAACACCAAAAATCCAAACAATCCAATTTTAAAAATGGGCAGAGTACCTGAATAGACATGTTTCCAAAGAAGACATACAGATGGCCAACAGACAAATGAAAAGATACTCCACATCACTAATCATCAGAGAAATGCAAATCAAAACCACATACCTATCAGAATGGCTAAAATGAAAAGACAAGAAAACACAATTGTTGGTGAGGATGTGGAGAAAAAGGAACGCTCGTAAATATGAATCAAAACCACAATGAGATACCACCTCATACCAGTCAGAATGGCTAAAATTAGTAACTCAGGAAATAACAGATGTTGGTGAGGATTTGGAGAAAGGGGAACCCTCTTACACTGTTGGTGGGAATACAAACTGGTGTAGCCATCTGGAAAACAGTATGGAAGTTCCTCAAAAAGTTAAAAATAGAGCTGCCTTATCACCCAGCAATTGTACTACTAGGTATTTATCCAAAGGATATAGACAGTGATTCAAAGGGGCACATACATCCCATGTTTATAGCAGCAATGTCCACAAAGCCAAACTAAGGAAAGAGCCCAGATGTCCATTGACAGATGAATGGATAAGGAAATGTGGTATATAAATACAATGGAATATTACTCAGCCATCAAAAATAATGAAATCTTGGGGCACTTGGGTGGCTCAGTCGTTAAGCATCTGCCTTCAGCTCAGGTCATGATCCCAGGGCCCTGGGATTGAGCCCCTCATTGGGCTCCCTGCTCAGCGGGAAGCCTGCTTCTCCCACTCCCGCTCTTCCTGCTTGTGTTCCCGCTCGCCCTGTCTCTCTCTCTGTCAAATAAATAAATAAAATCTTTAAAAAAAAAAGAATGAAATCTTGCTATTTACAATGACATGGGTGAAACTAGAGGGTATTATGCTAAGCAAAATAAGTCAGAGAAAGATAAATACCACATGATTTCACCCATATGTGGAATTTAAGAAAGAAAACCAAAGAACATAGGGGAAGGGAAGGAAAAAGAAAGTAAGAGGAAAACAGAGGGGGAGGCAAATCATAAGAGAATTTTAACTATAGGAAACAAACTGAGGGTTGGTGGAGGGTAGGCAGGTGAGAAGATAGGGTAATTGGGTGATGGGACATTAAGGAGGGCACTTGAAGTAATGAACACTAGGTGTTGTATGCAAATGATGAATCACTAAATTCTACCTCTGAAACTGAGAATACAGCATATATTAATTAAATTGAATTTAAATACAAATTTTTTAAAAAGATTTTATTTGAGAGAGAACACACAAGCACAAGCACAGGGGAGGGGCAGAGGGAGAAGCAGGCTCACCACTGAGCAGGGAGCCCAACGAGGGACTCATTCCCAGGACCCCGGGATCATGACTGAAGCCCAAGTCAGATGCTTCACCAACTAAGCCACCCAAAATTTTTTAAAAAAAGGAACTCTTACCCACTTTTGGTGGGAATGTGAGTTGGTACAGCCACTGTGGAAAACAGTGTGGATGTTCCTCAAAAAATTAAAAATAGAAATACCATATGATCCAATAATTCCATTAGTGGGTATTTACCCAAAGAAAACAGAAACACTAATTTGAAAAGATACATGCTCCCCTATGTATTGCAGCATTAGTTGCAATAGCCAAGATATGGAAGCAATCTAAGTGTACATCGATGGACAAACGAATAAGGAAGATATGGTGTACACACACACACACGCACACAGAGAGAGGAATATTATGCAGCCATAAAAAAGGTTGAGGTCTTGCCTTTTGCAACAACATGAATGGACCTAGCAGGTATTATGTTAAGCGAAATAAGTGAGACTGAGAAAGACAAATTCCATATGATTTCAGGTGTGTGAAATCATAAAAAACAAAGCAGATTAAAAAACAAAAAACAGGGGCACCTGGCTGGCTCAGTTGGAAGAGCATGTGAGTTGTGATCTCAGAGTTGATCTCAGAGTTGTGAGTTCAAGTACCACGTTGGGTGTAGAGATTACTTAAATAAATAAAACTTAAAAGAATTTAAAAAACAAACAAAAAAACAGAATCAGATCTGTAAATACAGAGAACAAACTAATGGTTCCCAGAGAGAAGGGAATGGGGTGTAGGCAAGTGAAGAAGAGTAGGAAACACAGGCTTTCAGTTACGGAATAAATAAGTTAAGGGAATAAAAGTCACAGCATAGGGAATATAGTCAGTGGTATTGTAATAGCTTCCTGTGGTGACCAACGGTAGCTGCACTTGTGGTGAGCATAATATAATGTATAGAGAAGTTAAATCACCATGTTGTACACATAAAACTAATGTAATATGTGTTACCTATACTCAAAAAAATTTTTAAAGAATATTAGCCTTTTGTCTGTGGTATATATTATGAATATTTCTCCCAGTTTGTCAGTTGTCTTTTTGTGTATGTTATTTTTTGTCATGCAAAAAATGTATATTTATATTGGATTTACTTCTCTTCCCAGGCCACAGCTGATGTAGCAGCTCACTGACAGCATTAAGATCTTATAGTCATTGTATCTTTCTACCACCAAGTCTGTTGGATTGTTTCCCCATAGTTGTAGAATGGTTGCTAAGCCTCTAGGTATCGTGGGAGTTCCAGGGAAAAAGAATGAGAAAAGGCCATATTAGCCGTATACATCTTTTTTTGTCAGAAGAGCAAAAGCTTTCCAAGAAATTCCCCAGAAAACTTCTATTTAGATCTATTGGCCAGGACTGAGTCATATACCTATTGACTACTGGGGGGGCTTCTTTGATAAAGTTTATATATAAAAAAACCCCAAAAAACAAGTATTTCACCCTCCTAGTCTCTATATTGGTATAAAGCAAGGGAAAATGTAAAAAAAGAATGGAGAGGGGGAATGGAAATGGATGTTGTCAGCTCACCTATCAGAGCCTGCCAAAAAGCAGGGATAAATAATATCAGTCAAAGAATTAAGCATTGATTATGGGGTCCCTTAAGGGAGACTTGATAGCTGTCTGGTTGGCAGTATTTCTAACAGTTCAAAAACCTTATCTTCTGTGTTATGTTTAGTTTGTCAACTCCTTTGCTGATATAAAGTGCCCAAAGAAGCAGCCTATCTCTTTAGCAAGTGTTTCAGTTAGGCTCTTTGTCCACTGCACGTGACAAAAAAAAGAAAAAAGAAAAAGAAAAAAAATCCTACCTCAAACTTTATTAGGTTAAAAAAGGAAGTTATTACCACATGTACCTGAAAAACCCATCAGTAATGATATGCAAATACAACTTGATCCAGGATTTCAAATGACATCAATAGGAACCAATTCCTTTCCATCTCTCAGCTCATAGTCCCTCTGTGCCAGTTAAACTCTCAGCTAAGCTCCCTTCATATAGGAACTCTTTTTAGGTCCAGGCTTATATACTCACAACCTCTAATCCAGTGAACAAAGTGCTTCTCTTTCCCAATGATTTGAATAAAAGTCCTGGTGTTAGACATTGGCTTAAATTATTTCATATGCCTATCCCTGAATAGTCACTTTGGGCAGGGAGATGCAGGGCTCCTGTTATACTGAGTCACAGGCCATGTCTAGATCATCAGAAGGAAAAGCAAGAGACTACTATCAGCAAAAGCAGAGAGTAGTTCACTGTAGTCTTTTGTATTTTAGGAAACTCCATTTCAGGGAAATGCTTCTCAGTGATTACTAGGCACCATTCACTTCACTTTTACTTAACTGTAAAATTCTAGTTAAATGTAAGCAGAGTTATACAGCTGATTAGGGTCATAAGTTCTTCAGAAGACTACTCCCATGGTTCTTTATGTTCCTAAGTAATATCATAGTGGATCTGGACAGCAAAATGTTGACTGGTAGGCATTTTCTTGGCTAATCAATCTACTAATATGCGTATCTATATATTTGGTACTAGATTAAGAACCGTGAGATCTGAGTTTAAGTTCCAGGTATGCAGCTGTTAGTTTTATAACTTGACCAGTTATTTTTTTCATATATGTAACATGAGAATAGTAAATTGTTAATATTTGCCTCACAGGACTGTTGTAAGAATCAAGAAAGATAAAAGATTGGAAAGGACTTCAAAAATTATAAGTATCCAAATATAGGCTGATAGATTCCTGCATCTCATAAAATTTCCCAACAATTTTGTTTATTTTGGTGTTTTGAAAATACTTCTACCCAATTTAAGTGGCAGACATAAAAACAATATATAAAAATAAAATTATAAAAATAAACT